TCTGTATCTACATCTACATCTACATCTACATCTACATCTACATCTACATCTACATCTACATCTACATCTACATCTACATCTATATCTATATCATCTATGTCTATATCTATATTTAATAAATATTTAAGATATATAATATATATTCACATATATACAGGTGTATATATGTGTATATATATGTATATATACAGATGTATATGCATACATGTGTATGTGTATATATACATGTATAACATAAAAGAATTCATAGAAGCACTTTTATTGTGGAAAAGATGGGAAATTAAAATGTATGCTCATCAGTTGGTGAGTGGGTAAAATTATGATATATGAATATAATAGAATATTATTATACACTAAGAAATTATGGATATAAAGAATTCAGAGAAGCAAGAAGATTTGTGTAAATTAATACAACCTGAAGTAAGAAGAAACAAAAGAACAATCAATTCATATCTATATCTATATCTATATCTATATATACATATATCTATCTATCTATCTATCTATCTATCTATCTATCTATCTATCTATCTATAGAAACAATGTAAATGTAAATTTCACTCTGAAAAATTTTGAAAAACTAAAAATCTAGTAATAATCCTGAAGAAGAGATAATGCAAAATTCCTCTCTTTTCCCTCCAAAGAGGCATGATAAGTCTCTAATGTCAGAAAGTTGAGTGTATCGTCAGGTACAATTCTTGTAAAAAGTCATTTTGCTTAATGTTCTTTCTTTGTTACCAGGGTGGGTTCAATTTAGGGGGAAGAAAAGGAAGTTATTTCCAGAAATAACTGATATTTTAAAAAAAGACATTAGCAAAACTTAAAAACAAAAACAAAAGAGGAAGCAGCAAAATATGATGGAGAGACCTTTGGACCTGGAGTCAGGAGACCTAGGTTCTGTGTTCAGTCATTTACTAGCTTTGTAGCTGTAGGCAAATCATTTTCCTTCTCTTGGCTTTAATTTCTTCACTGGCAAAAAGGGAATGATAATACTTGCCCAGTCCTTTCTAAACTATACCACAAAAATTTGTGCTGTTATTAGAAAGGAGGTGGTTCATTTATCATCTTGGAGAAATACTAAATGAATGCAAAATCTAACTGATGTTAGAGATTTGTGTTCCCTTTAACATTTTGTTTGTTTTCTTATAGGCTTTTGTTATCTTTTCCTCCCACGCCACTCACCCCTCCCAATGAGTAATAATGCCAAAAAAAGAAAACCTTCATAACAAATACTATTTTTCAGCAAAAGAAATTCTCACATTGGCATTGCAACTTGTGTCCCTATAGGCGTTTGCTTATGAGAACAGCAGTTTCCAGTGGATTTTTTTTCACAGGGTCATCTAGATGCTAGAATATAATGAAGTACTTAGGGTGAATGGATACAAAAATGTATTAATATATAGATCATATGTGATATGATTATATCTACACAGTGAGTTTGCTCTGTTCTAAGGCATTTATATTCAGTTTAATTCCATATTTATTAAGTGCTTATTTTATATATAGAATATTCTGTTAAGTATTTCAAGGAAATAATGAAATTTAAATTAGATAAAGCCTGGAGGAGCTTACATTTCAGTAGGGGGACAACTATAATACACAGATAGTTATCTGTATAAGATGTAGTAATATATGAATAATCCATTAGATGGGGTCAAAAATAAAGTTCCAAATGAGATTAAGGGAAAAAGTCATTATCAACAGGGTAAGTCAGGCTTCACAGGGGAGATGAGCATTGGAGTTTAAAGAATGGGTTCAAATTCAACAGGCAAAACGTGTTGCAAGCACAAAAACATGAATACAGGGACACATGGAAGATTATCAGGGGCAGAAAATAGCTTAGGTTTAAATAGTTTAGGTTTTTATAGTTTTTTGTAGCTTTTGAAGCAAAGAATATCTGTACATAAATAACGTGATAGGATTGCAAAGGTAGGGTGATGTCTTATGGATACTATGGAAATTCTGGGCAATGGAGTGTGAAATTAAATTACTGAGCAATAGGAGGGCCCTGAAGATGTTTGATCAAAAGAATTATATGACCAGATTTAAGTATGCATTTAATTAAATTACAATTCAAAAAGTGCTTTTTGATCTTGCAGTGAAAGTTGATATATTAGGTGCTAAGGATACAAAAGTAAATGAAAAGTAGTACTTGCACTCAAGAAGCTTCCATTCTACTGGGAGAATACAACATTTATATAGATTAGTTAAGAAGATAATTTCAGGAGTAATAGAGCACCAACAACTAGGGAGAATAGGAAAGGTTTCCCACAGGAAGTACCACTTGAGTTTAATGTTGAAGAAAACTAAGGATTCTAAGAAGTGGAGGGGAGAAGGGAGAAATGAATAGGAATGATTATTTTAGACTTAGTGTGAAGGATGGATTACAGGGATGAAAAAATAGAGGTGTAAAAATTTATCTTATTATTAGAAAGTCATTCAGGTATCCAAGATGGGAGGTTATGAAGGCCTACATTAGGGTGGTGGCAGTGGAAATAAGGAATGAATACGAGATATTTTGCTATGATAGAAGTGACGTGACTTGGTAACTAATTGGATATGAGGAGGGAGATTGGTGCAGAAAGGGTCAAATATAACGTACCAAACAATGCCTTTTGGATAAACGGTGGTGCCACAGATAGCAGTAGCCAGCTTTTACACATATTGTGTGTGAGGCATGGGATATTCAAGTAGAGGTGATTTGTAGGCAGTTGGAGATGTGGGTCTGGCATTTAAGAGAGGTCAGAGCTGAAGACAAATATTTGAGTATCAAGTGAAGCAGCAGGAGTAGGTGAAATTGCAAAACGATAGAGTATAGAGAGAAAAAGAGGAGGGCCAAGGGCAAACTCTTCAAAGCACCTACCTTAAAACGTGACAGAGGGCAAAGAATCAACATTCACCTCAAGGTTACAAACATGAGACGTTGTTAGGTCATTGCTGATACCAGTGATTGAAAAACCAGGAACAGAAGCAGATTTAAGAGGAAAGAAAAATAAGCTGAATGAATTACAGTTATAGTTAGCATTTCTTGATTTTTCTCATTTTTTCTGCTTTCTTCTCCCATGGTCATAGATCCCTGAAGAGCCACAAATCCCCTTCACCAGTAGTCCATACCTGATAGAGGGTGAAGATGTAGAACCAGAAGAGAAAAGAAGAAGAGAGACTGAGGAATATTATTTTTAAAATGCTAGACCACAGCTTGCAGTTATTGTGGGCTGTTGGAAAGAACACTAGATTTGGAGTTCTAATACTTGGGTTCTAGTGCCAGCACTGTGGTGTCACTTCCTTGAGTAAGTCCCTTCACCTTTCTGCCTCAGTTTCCTTATCTATAAAATAAAAGTGTTGGATTAGATGTCATTTTAGAAGTTGATGGTCAGGACAAGAGCTCAAATCTTCAAACTCTCACCTACCAGTTCTTACTGTCAAAGTCCTTCCTTTCTAGTTCTTTATTTTAGGATTCTAAGGAAAGCAGTAGAAAAAGATCAAGAATAAGGTAGTTTCAGGGAGTAAAGTGATAGACAGTACTTCAGGAAATTGAGAGGAAACAGTAGTCATGCTCATAACTCTTGTCCAAGGCTAGAGTTGTTTTGGGTTTATCGTGCATTTCAGTCATTTGTGAGAATAGTCCTAGGTTTTATTTTTGTAGAGATATTGAAAAACAATAAAAAACACACAGAAAGAAAACAACATATGGACCCTGTTGTACATTGAATTTTCCCTAACACTTTTTCATCCATCGTCTTCCACAATCCCTCTCTTCAAGACTCAGTTCAAGCACTATCTTCTATATGAAACTGTAACTGCTAGCGCCCTCTCCTATAACTACAATGCATTTAACTGGCCTGGAGTTGGATCTGTAATTTCATGCATATAGGGGATGGCCAGATGAGAAATCCTGCCAGTGCAGAATGACATCTTGTCTTCTGTTTAGAGTCTTACGGAGTTACCTGGAGCACTTAAGGGTTAATGGTTGGTTGGCTGTTGTCCTTCATTCTTAAAGAGGACCAAAATGACATCACTATGTTGGAGTCAAGGTACAATGTATCTGTGTCTGATCAGATCAAGCTTGGAATGCTCTACCACAGGTCGGGTTCAAATAGTCCGTATCTATTAACCCTGGTCATAGGAGTTAAGTAACTTAAGCAGGGTCATACGTCTAGTAGATGTCAGTGACAGAAATTGAATCTAGATTTTCTTGGTTCCAAGGCTGCCTCTTTGTATTTATTCTCTTTGTATTTATTCTATGTATACTTACATATGTGCTTGTTCTTGGCCATGATAGAATGTAAGCTCCTTGAGGGCAGGGGCTATTTCTTTCTTTCTTTCTTTCTTTCTTTCTTTCTTTCTTTCTTTCTTTCTTTCTTTCTTTCTTTCTTTCTTTCTTTCTTTCTTTCTTTCTTTCTTTCTTTCTTTCTTTCTTTCTTTTTTAGTTTGTATCCCCAGTGCCTAGCGCAGTGCCTGGCACTGTAGTTTCTTAATAAATGTAGTTTATTGTAGTTTCTTAATAACTGCTTGTTGATTAATTGATAGTAGCATAAATGGCAAGAGGAGCAGCTACTCACATTTATATAATGATTTAAGATTTGGAAAGAGTTTTCCTTATCCACATTATCTTATTAAATCCTCAAAACAATTCTATAAAATAGTTACTTTTGTTACATCCAATTTGCAGGCAAAAAAAAAACACTAAGGCTCAGCAACTTGCTTAGAGTCTAGTACATATCTGAGGCAGGATTTGAACCCAAGTCTTCATAAATCCAAGTCCCATGATCTAAGGACTTACTTAAGGTCTAGTATATGTCGAGAAGTAATCCAGTGCTTGAGGGTCATAGAGATTTTAAAGAACATTGAGTTCAACCCATTCATTTTACTGATGAGGATACTGAGGCCCACCAAGCAAATCCCTTTTTCCCACTCTCTGCTACCTGGAAGCTGTACTGATCTGCTTTCTGAAAATTTCTATAGAAATCTCAGCTACTGTTTTCTTTGTTTCTTTTTAGGAGTAGAAACAGAAGTCCCATTGCCCCTGGAAAATATGGCTATGGGAAAGCTCCATACATATTACCACTGCAGACGGACACTGGCCAGCCCCCTCAGAGGCTTCGGAGACAGAGACAGTCAGCTCAGCATCAAAGATACCATGGGGAGGCAGACCTTGGTCCTCATTACAGCCATCTAGCAACCTCTGCTGTACAGCGCAGGCATCTCTACCAAGGCAACCATGCTTCTCAGCCCAGACTCCAGCCCTTGGAGTCCTCAATTTACCAGCCACCTTTATCCCGTCTCCAGGGCTTCCCTGCAACTCCAAGTCTATTCCATAGCATGGAAGTGAGTAGTAGCCCTGGTGGAGGATCCCACCGTTCATCTCTCCGTCCACCCCACAGCTTTTCTCAGCCCCACCGATCTACAGAGATCATGTGCATTGGAGCTTACCGACAATACAAGCTCTGTAACACTAACGTGAGTATGGTCTCGTCTCTCCCTCCTCATTTCAAGTTTTGTTTTCCATCTCTTCTTGCCCTGCTTGAGCCTTCCACTGATACCAGCTGGTTTTGTTTAGCCCTGTTTGTGATACTAAGGATTTCAAAGGTTGCTCATGTCTTAATCTGCTTATATGAATGCTACCTTGAGACCTGAGATGTCAACATTCCTAATTTCATAGTCAATGGTGGTGCTGGTGTTGGTAGAGGGGTTATAATTGTTATTCCAAATTTAATAACCATCTCAGCTAAAAAATTCTCACGCACATATTTCACTCATAAACTACAAATTCCGAACTATTTACAGTTTGCTAAAGGCAAATAAAACACTCTACCTTGTCTAAAAAAATTATCAACATTTCATTCGCTCTGCATCTTGTTGACCTTTTGCAATCTTTATGCATATTTGATTTTGCTGTTGTTATTTTTTATCAAGTTGTAGTCAATGTTTATGTTTGGATTTTTTTTTTTTGCAACATTTTGTATGTGTCTTTATGTATTTTTTTTGTATTTTTCATACTTGTCATTTTTAATGGTGCAAGTAATATTTCATTAATTCCTATCGCCCAGTATATTTAGCCATTCTTCAATCATGGACATGCAGAAAACTCTAGTTTTTCTGCTATATAAAAAAATGGTATTTTTATACAGGTAGATCTCTCCATTCCCACTTTATTAGCTTCCATTTGATCTAACCCTAATAGTGGAATTACTGGGTCAAAACGCTTCATTTAGTAAACACTTTTTAAAGTGTCCAGTAGGTGCCAGGCACTGTGCTAGGGACTAGAAATATGAAGACAAAACCAAAATGTTTCCTGCCCTCAAGAAGCATGTGGGTGAGGGAGTCTGGGCTCAGTTTTTTTTATGTCTTCTTGTGTGTTGCCAGATGACTTTCCAAAAAGAGTCCATCAATTCCCAGCTCCACCAACAAACTGATAAAATACTTATTTCCCCTTCTGGATTCCTGTTCTAGCATTGAAGTGACCCTGAGAGGTGAGGCTTAACTCTGTGTTATGTGACACTAGACTCTGCTCCCAAGGGGCAGAGAATGTCAAGCACAGGGTTAGCACATGGCTGGTCCGTGTAGAGAATGTTACAGTCAGAGTATTGTTGCTGACCATTCCTTCCCTGGTTTCCTCATTCCGTGGTTATGGAGCTGGGTTTTTACATTTGAGGCATACAGCTCATTCATTGAACATATGCATTTTTCAAATGAAGACGGCTGCTCTTTTCCTTTAAAAATCAAAGAAACAAAAAAGCATCCTGACCCAAAATCTAATTGGTAAATGAGTATGAAACATGCAGGAGAAAAAGAATCCAATAGGTGTTATTGTTGGCATTTGTATGGTCCTTCAATCTACTTTCTTAAAGGAAAATTTGTTAAGACCAGTTATTTCACTTTTGCCAAATGATCTGTTGTTTTAATTCGTAGGCATGTATGTTTCTTATGGGCAATAGCTCAGTCCACAATGTGTCAAGTATTTAGGGCCTGGCCTGCAGAAAGCCTGAAAGGAGATTTTGCTTGGCAGTCTGGTGGTTAGAACATTAGACTTGGAATCGGGAAGACCTGAATTTAAATCCTGCCTCAGAAACTAATTGCTGTGTGCCTTGATAAAATGAGGAGAATCATATCTACCTCATAAGAGTTTTTATAAGGATCATAAGTGCTGATATATAAAGTGCCTTAAACCTTAAAGCACTAATGTTAGCTATTATTGTTGTTATTGCAACACCTTTGTAAAGTACAAAGCTTGCTCTTTCCTTACTCTACCTGTTTTAGGGCCTGGTTCATCTCCTGCATACTCTTTCTTCATTCTGATTTAGGCCATCACTTCCCACGTCAGGGCAATGAAGTCCTGAAGATCTCCTCCACATACATGTTACTGGATGAGAGACCTCTTCTGCTGCTGCTTGGTTAAATATCCTGGGTCACCTGAGTTTTCAGTAGCTATGGATGAGATGGGTCCTAGTGAGAGAGGCTTACAATTTCAGAGTTAGGAAGGGTCTTGCAGATCTAGTCCAACACCAATCTGAAGCAGTAATCTCCTCTATAATATCTGTACTGCCCATGCTCATTTGGATTAGAGATTACACAAACTCTGTATGTAACAAGGCCAAAGCAGAACTCTATCTCTTCCCCCAAAGCCCTCTCCTCATTCATACTTGCGTCTTTTTTAAAAGCTGCACCAGTATCTCCCTAGTCTTCCAAATTCATAATGTCAGTGTTTTCCTCAATTCTTCGTTCTCACTCCACGTATCAAATCAGTTTCCAAATCTTGCTGTTTCTATCTTCACAAAATCTCTCTAATCTGACTCCTCTATATTCAAACAGCTACTACCATTCAGGCCTTCACTACTCCTCACTTAGATTATTGCAGTGGCCTTTTAATTGGGCTTCCTGATTTAAAACTCTACCCAGTTCAGGCCATTCTGTATCTTGCCTCCAAAGTGATTTTCCTCAAGTGCAGTTTTGACCATGTTATTACCCTACTCAACCAACTTCAATGACTCTCCATTGCCTCCTCTCGTTTGTTTTTAAAGCCCTTCATGATCTGTCTCTAGCCTATCTTTATGGCTTCACTATAAATGACCACCCCTCTCACACTGTGCACTGTCCCCAAGTTGGCCTTCTCTTTATTCCACCTATGTGACATTTCCATCTCCCATCTCAAGTGATTAGCCATTCTCTATGCTGGGAATGCACTCTGTCCTTGCCTCTCTCTGCCTCACAGACTCCTTCTCTTCCTTTAAGATGGGGCTCAATCACTACTTTCAACATCAGGGCTTCTTCACCTTTTCTAAGGCATGGACCCTTTTGTCAGTTTGAAGCTCATGGACTCCTTCTCAAAAGGATGTTTTTAAATGTATAAAATGAAGCGACAAAGGAAATCAATTACATTGAAATTCAGTTATCAAAATTAATGTATTTAAAAAATCACAGACCCCAGAACTCTTGTTCAACCTGAAAACTACTGATCCCTTCAACTGCTAGGACCAATTATCTCTCCTAAACTATTTTATATTTAATTTGTTTGTATTTATTCACCTTATATTTATTCCATAAATACTTATACAGGGTTCCCCAAAGAGTTTTAGCACAATTCTAAGTTTAATACCTTAAACTTAAAATTGCACTAAGACTTTTGAGATATCCTGAAGAAGCAGGAATTGTTTCATTCCTTATCCTCAGTGCCTAACACAGTGCCTGGCATATAATATATTTAGTATGTACTTAATATGTTCATTGATTAATTTGATCCTTCTCTCATTTTCAACTTCTCTTTATGTCAAAAGACTACGAAATCAGTGAGTAAAACGGTCTGTAACAAATGGTGTAAAAATGGTGTTGGGTATTTTTTTTAAAGGTTACTAAAAGGAATCTGTCCTTGGATCTTGTTGGTGACTTTATTCTTTTTTTTCTTCTTTTTGGTGAGGCAATCGGGGTTAAGTGACTTGCCCAGGATCATACAGCTAGTAGGTGTCAAGTGTCTGAGGTCAGATTTGAACTCGGGTCCTCCTGACTCCAAGGCCAGAGCTCTATCCCCTGTACCACCTAGCTGCCCCAGCTGACTGTATCCTTGCCAAAGTCATAGGATCATAGATTTAGCGCTGGAAAGGATCTCAGAGCCATATCAATCAATTGACCATCAATCATAAATAGGTATTTATTAAGAGACTACTATGTAAAAGAGAGTAAGAGAGATATATAGAGAGAAAGAGAGAGAGTGTATGATGTGTCAGGACCTTTGTTAGGTTATGGGGATAGAAATACAAAGAATGAAAAAAATCCATCCTCTAAAGGATATCCTCTAAGGAGCTTGCATTCTATAATAATCTCTAAGGTAAAGCTCCTTACATTCTAGATCAAGTAACTTCATACCAGATTATCCTGTATTATTATCAAAATCCCATATTAATACTCAGTCACTTGACCAAGGCCACATGGGTAGTAAATGACAAAGCAGGATTCCAACCCAGAACCTCTGACCCCAGAGCCTATGCTTTTCCTGCTTTATCTTGTCTATGCCTAAATTCTATCTTGATATGTAAAAGGAAGATGATTAAGATTGGGCAAGTCCCTGATCAATCCTCCATCCTTCCACTCCCCCAGATAGAAATTTATCAGTTTTATAATTGTAGAAGTGAACATGCAGTCAGCTAGAATTTACTAGGTACTTATTGGATATGGAGCACTGAGCACTAATCAACAGACAAACACACTTCAACAATAATCCTCGCTCTTAATCCACAGGGAGAGAAAACATGCAAATAATTATGCACAATCAAGTTATATGATGGATAAATTTTGGGGTAATTTTAGAAGGGGTACTAAGATTAAGAAGGATTGGGAAAGGTTTCTTGTAGAAGGCAGGACTGTAGCTGAGATATTAAGGAAGGCAGGGAAGCCAGAAGGCAGAGATGAGGAGGGAGAGCCTTCCACGCATGGGGGTCAGCCAGAGAAAATGCTTGCAGTCAGGAGATAGAGTGTTGTCTTAAAAAAACAGCAAGGAAGCCATTGTCATTGGATTGGAAAGTGTGGGAGTAAAGTGTAAGAAGCCTGGAAAGATAGGAAGGGGCTAAGTTATGAAGGACTTTAACAATCAAGCAGGATTTTACCATGATCCTGGAGAGAATAGGGAACAACTGCAGTTTATTGAATAGGGAGGTGATATAGTCAGACATGAGCTTTTGTTGAGTAAAAGATGGATTGGAGTGGAGAGAGACTTGAGGAACAGTAGTCCAGGTTGAGATGATGAGGTCTACACTAGGGTGATGTCAATGTTGGAGGCGAGATGGGGGAATAGAGGGAAGATTCAAAAGGAGTTGATAACTGCTTGGTTGTGGGAAGTGAGAGAATGAGGAGTCAAGCTATGAGCCTGAGTGAGTGGGAGGATGGTGTAATAGGGACAGTAACAGAGAAATTAGCAAGCGGGGGAGGGTTTAGGGAGAAAGATAATGAGTTCAGTTTTGGAAAAGATG